TAAAGTCCTAGCTCCCCACGCGTCTCCGTCGTGCACGCTGTGCCTCCTGGGACCACATGAGCCAGGTGCCTGCAGGTGGGTGCCACCTGAGGGGGCCTGCTGCTGCCATAGAGGGAAGCACCAAGCCCCCCTCACAGCCCAGGGACCGCTTAGCCCGCTGGCAGCTCGCCTTCCCCCCCTGCTGCCAGAGAGGCCAGGTAGTTTGGGTGTGTGCACGACATGGGGGTTTAAAGGGCCTAAATTTAAGCAGTGTTTTTAAAAACCCACCACTTCAATTTAGGGCCCCCGTTTCATGTACACATCACTCAAAAGAAGGCAGAAAGTGTGTGTGCGCATGTGCAGGGGCAAAACTCTTCTCTAGGCCCTCAGTGATTCTTTTGTGAGCCTGCAAATTCACTGTTCTCCCTGGTTATGGGGTTATAACTGATTACACAAACCTTGAGAGAGCGCGATTTGAAATGGCTGATTTGACAGATGCAGAATGTGGTAGTGTGTCGTGTATGTATTTAGGAGGCTTTGTAAAGTGAGGTGGAAGAACCTGCTGACATGCAGTGATTGTGCAATCAGCAAAGATGGACAATGCCTGTTGCATTTTGTCCAGTATTTACTGAAACTACAGGTAGGTGTTTAAGAGCCCACAGATGGAGTAAGTTGAGACAGGCATCAGTATATGCTTATGCAAGGAGATGGCCAGTGCCACCTGAAGCTGAATTGGGTGTTAACCCTGCCTTCACCTGGTCTATGCCATATTTATCAGATTTGTTCTGATATCTAGTGCAAGGCAGAGAAAAGAGGTGATAAACAATGTTGTTACTTGAGGCAGGCAGAATTAAATGCTGGCAATCATTGTTATTAAATATTGTCTCTTAGTGGTGGGTTTGCATCATGTGGCAGGATGCACTTCTAAAATTACTTATTGGTTTGATTTTTTTTAAAGCTGGGTAAGCAATAGCATGATGTACTGGAATGGTGATGCACTGTGTGTAGATTAAAGTATAGATAAATGAAATAATGATGCAAATCAACTTTATTTAAAAGCATACACAAACCAGCTGACATAAGTAAGAAGGAGAAAAATAACAAATTGCACAGAAAATTGTTTGAAGTTATAAAATTCACATCCAAGAAATACTGGTTCTTTGTTCTGTTTGCTGCCAGGGACACAATAAGGCATGTCATGAAAGTACTGGGGAGAGAGGGAACAGGCATGAGGCAGTCTAGTATGTGCTGGTTGTGGTTCTGAGCATCATAGGAAGTGGCATATGCCTTTGCCTCTGCATCTATTCTCTGGAATCAGAAGTCCTCTTGCTTCAGCAGTTTCATTTTGTTATCATGCCATATACATTCCATCATTGATTCTCTGTTCTTCTGCCTAAATTAGTCTTGTCTTTCCCAAAATGACCAGCTTTTTCTTCCTTGAATCTAAAAATTGTATAAGAGTCCTTTGCATGCCCATCTGCAAGTCATTTTCTGTTTCCTTCCAATAAGATGATCAAGCATTTAGCCAGTTGTGATCCCTGTTGCTAGTCTCCTGCTCTGTGATGTGCCAGCATTTCCATGTGGTAGTCCTGCTGCTGCAGCAGTTTCTGAAATGAACAATAATAACGTTGTTAATAAACTTAGTAATGGTACAGATAATCCTCAGTATTCCAAAGAATGCAATGCAAAAATACTCCTTTCTAGTCACTTTCTCATTTTGGAGTCTCACTGGAAAGAGATGGTATGTACTACTAATATTCAATATGGTAAGAGCATAAACCAATACTTTTTTTCCTAATTTAAAATCAATTATTTAGGGTTGGGGGAGGGAAGGAGGCAGAGGGAAGATTTAGGAGCTGAATCTCAGTTGGCTCAAAAGAGATTACTCAATCCAGACAAAAAGCTGGTAGTGAATCCTTAGTCTGAGGATTCCAGAAGGGAAAAAAATGATAACACTGGTTTCAACAGGTTCAGAGCAAAGCTACTAATCTTGCACTTGAGTTATTCTCATAGTAGATAAGTAAGCAGGCTCTAGGATGGGAAAGCTATAATGACCTTCTCTGGGGATATGTGGAAATTATCTTTTCTCTTAATTTAATTGCTAAGACTAGCTGAGTGCTGAATTTTAAAAGACTTTCAGGGATCACTTGGGGAAGAGAGGAAAAAGTTAAGATAAATTATCTTTGCTAGAGTTCTCAGTAAAATTTGTTGGCTGGTAGCACTGGAGATGGACAAGGTGATGTTTTCACAGCCTTACTACTAGTTAATTGAAAGTAGTTTGCTTTCAAGTAGTGTTTATGCATTAAAGAGAATGATAGAATGAAGTATATTTGCAACGATATGAGTAGCTACCTAGCTATATGCTCTTGCTGGACAAATGGGCCAATGGATAATGTCACATACATGGTGGAATCATGCTGACTATGATGCAATTCATTGCATTAATATTTTTCTGCTCTGACATTTAGTATTTGACTTGTCAACAAGATTTGATGCTTTTCTTGTTGACCTTCATTTTGAGTCTGACCGTGCAATCTGGCTAAGTTAGATACTGTGTATTGCATGCCTGAGGCATCTGTCCTTATTTGAGACACCTGTTGTTGTAGCCAGACATGGAGAACTAATGTCCTGACCTCTCCATCTGTTCCATAACAGAGGTATGTAAACTGGGGGAGGAAGGGAAGGTGGGCCCAGGAAGATGCCCATAATGCTGTGCTGCAAAATCAAGAACGGTCGGGGGGCTTCTGTTGTTCTGTGAGACTCTAAGCACCCACAAGAATGAAGTGATATTTGTAAAGCACCAGACACATCTTCCCATGGTCATATCATGCAAAACCAACCCAACTGGTACAGATAATAAAAACAACATACCTTATGTACCCCTTGGTCTCCCAGCCCACTTGAGTCTGTCTGGCTACTGGAGCTGGAGCTGCCCTTGTCCAAGAGGTCAAGAGATCCTGGTAAGGTCTTGAGGACCCTGGTGGTCCTGGCCCACATTCCTTGCCTTGGACCACGATGAACATTTCCTCCTTTCTTGATTCAGTATTCAGCCTGGTGCTGTCTGTGCCTCCAAAATACCTCAGGCTCTATAGATGGATGAGTGCCAAGATATGGTCCAGTTCATTGCAGGAAAAGAAATAGGGCTGGTTTTCCTCTTTACTCTTAATGACTGCTGTTATTGTATGCTTTCATACACATGCCCATTGGCCTCTTCTCCCACTGCTGTTTTCCCACCCCAAATAATTTTTCTCCTGGTCACTGCATGTGAACCCCAAGTCAGAATCCAACATGTTCAGAGTTAACGTTCAGCTGCGGCTGAACTCTCACAGGCATCTAGACATTTACCTCTGGGTAGCTGACAGGATGCCTGCAAAATAGTTCTTTTTCTTCTGAGGTATGTTGTAAATTGTCTTGCTAAAATCCATGCAGTGATCTCAAACCTCCAGACACTGGCAAGAAATAGCACACAATAAAATTTAAGGTGAGGGTGGTGCTATTTTGGTAGGTAAGGGGCTTTTAGAAAACTTGAACCTAGGCTAGCAAAGGATGGGAATTAAGGCAGAGCATCTAAGCAGCAAGGGTTAATCTATAGAACGTCAATGAGCAGATCATTTACACAAATGGGATTATTACACCAATAGCTGGAGCACCACAAAGGGACTTATATGCCTAAAATGGAAGTTTGGCACCCACTTCCATCATTTAGACATTTCTAAGATTGTCAACACCTCAATTCACCTTTTGCCTAACCTTCAGGTGCCTAAGATACAAACCTAGTTAAGTCCTGACATTGTTAAGCTACATAGAGCCCAAGAACATACCTACATTCCAGTTAGAGACTTAAAGTTACAGACTTAGTTCTAAGACCTTATCTTGCTTGCCCAACAGCCTTAACTGATAGTCTTCCCTACTGGATTGGACCCCCACACAATACAAAACATCTATTTTTGGAGAGGTGTATCAAGTTTTATACCCAATAGCCCTCTGGTGAACTGCTGAGAGATCTGAGAAAACTTTCCAGATTTCTTTTCCTGATTCAGAGCAGGGACCTGCCACTCATAGAGAAGACAATGCCCTAGCCTCCAGCCTTTAAGAGTTCTGGGGCAAGTTTTTTTCACTGTCCAGATGATGCTGTTTCACTTCGTACAAATAATTAAATATTCATTGAATCAGAGAGAGATCGACTCTACAGCCTGATGGTTAGGATACTTACTGAGGATGGAGGAGAGTTATGTCTGTGTTCTTACTTCAATTAATAATTAATTATTTCTACAAAGTAGAACAGTTTCAGCAGAATGAGACACTTGTCCAGAATGGTGTAATGGTCAATACGCTCTCCTGCCGCCTGAGACACTTGGGTTTAAGCGCCTTCTTCTGATCCTGCAAAACTTGAAAAACAGGTTTCCTACCTCCAAGTTGACTTACCTAACCCCTGTGCTATGTGATATGATGAGACAGGGGAGGTTTTTCTCCCTGAGTGTAAGAGAACTGATTTGGCCTATGTACCAAACTTAAAGACAGGTTTTCTAACCTAATACAGTCATGTAAACAAAAATGCAGCTAGCTCTGCTTTTGAAGCAATGTGTAGTTCATATTGTGGTGTGTTCCTCTGTATACCCATTGATGTATTTTAGATGCATAATGTATGTTAGGAATATTAAATGGTGATTAGCTGCCAAACTGCTCAAATAGATCCCTGGGCAAAGCTACAACACATGTAAGTACCATACTTGGTACTTGTTGCCTCTATATTCTGTGTATGCATTATTTTCCTGTTAATTCATTAGTAGATTATTCATCCAAAGTATATTAAGACAATCTCTGACTCTCTCTATATTTTCCTGTCTCGGATATTTATATAGGTTTGGCAGCTCTGCCAGTGTATGAATGCAAGTATGGTGCAGTAGAGCAATGTAGTTTACTGAATGTAAATGTATGTATCCACAGTGATCCTAATGATTAGGAGTGAGAGAGACAAACTGACAAAGGCAGTTAGGAAGAAATATACCAATTGTTCCCCAAACCACAGCACAACATGATATAGCATAGTTACTCATTAGAATCAGAGTTCCAGTATATCCATTACTCACAGGAGGTAGGAGTGAAAGGATAAATTAAAGCTGTTTGAATGATACCATACTCCCCTTTACTGGCTTTATGTCATTTTCCATACCAAATTAAAGTTATTTAGTTTACCCTGCTACTTGTCTCTGATATTTTCTGTCTTGGTCCCTTCTTCTCATACCACTTGACTAGTTATCCTCATGTTATCCTTCATTCCTTTCTCTGTGCCTTCTTATTTGCTGCACCTTGAATCTTCTCGTCTGACTTGCCTAGGTGCTTTTTTTTCCATCAAGTCTCTTTATAACTTTTAAGCTTTTTTTTTTAAAAAAGCAACCCATATTTACCTGAATCCAAGACGACTTCAAATTTAAGATAACTGTCCCCAAATAATTAAATTCTATACACAAAATTGATACAACTTGTTATAATTTTCTATGTTGTGGCTCTGACTCTAAGCCTGGGTTGGGGCTGGAGCCTCAGCAGCATTCTGCCCCTCAGTGCCTCACCCTCAAAACCTAGACAAGGGGCTTTTTTCTTCCATGTTGAATGGAGGGAAAAGACCTTGTTTTGGATTTGAATAAATACAGTAGAGCTTGTTGTTTTAGAGAAGTCTGAGTGTAAGCTACATGTCCTGTTTTCATAATATACTGTATTTACCCTAGGCAGGCTGTACAGTCTCCCCCATGCTCCCCCCTGAGTCATACAGGTCACCCCTGTTCCCTCACCACCAGTCTGCAATATCCCATGTTTCTCCCAGTTGCGAACTCGAGGCAGGTGGTGGCTCAGCTCTGGTTTCAGCCCCAAGCCTGGACCAAAACCTGAGCTGAGTCGCCACTTGCCGCAGACTGGTACTGAAATTGAAGGCAAAGTTTTTATTTCTCAATGCTCTTTTTTGGGGGGGGGGGCAGTGGGGAGGAGGGAACCTCGTGTTGTATTCAGGTAAACATAGTACACACATCCATGTATCTGTTAAGAAAATAGCTTTTTATATCCTTCCCTTAAGCCAGACTGAGTTGTTAGACTGTAGGTTGCTTTGGGTAGGCCCATGTTTAATTTTTTTTTAAACAAAGTGCCCAGCACACCATAGGCTGTACTGGCAATAATTCATAAAAAATAAAATCTTGCCTTTTAATAGTGTCCTGGTTCAAAAACTAAGACTTCAATAAAAGTAAATACCATATTCCTTTGAATATAAGATGCCTTTAAATTTAAGATGTCCCACCTTGTATGACACTCAATTGTAAGAAAAAGAAAACTTATCAGACAAAGACATATCTATGGTGCATATAATGACTTTCACCAAAATTTAAGATACAAGCCATTTCTAGAAAAAAAAAATCATTTTAACAAATGCATCCTATGTTTCAAGGAACCTGGCAATAAGTTTCAGGCTGATTTTGAACAGGATTTGTTAGGCAAGATGGTAGGCAAGATGGTCCTACCATACAAACAGCTTTCCCCATGTAGCCTGGTCCCTGTGCTTCTGCCAGGCAATGGAAGTAGCTTTGGGTAAGAAGATAGCTCTGTCTCCATGAGTCCAACCCTGCAAGTTCTACTCTTCACCAACTCACACTCGTGGCAATGGGCCTGTGCACATTGTGCCTAAGTAAGGCATGTGTGCCTACATAAGTGCATGATGAAGTTCCATAACTGTTTGCTCTTAGCACCGCCTCTCTGTTGAGATCACCACCCCTACATTCAAACATGATGGATGTAGGATCCAGTCTTTTGGAAATCAGCATGAATAAATCAAATGCACAACATATAGGCAACCATACGGTCATCAGGAGAATTATCTTTGGTCTTTTCAACTGAGGTCAGTTTTGAACTAGTGGTTATAGGAACTAAAAGCTCTAATTCTCCCTTCATCCTTTGTTTTTGTAACTCAGTTTGGTATTTCAGCGTCCTTTGACTGCTAAAAGATGTCACTGTTTTTAGCTTCACTCTATTGCAATGCATGTCCAATTCCTTGGCCTTGCTTTGCATGCTTGTACAGAAGAAGATGCTGTTAATAAAATGGCAGAAAATGGACTTGAGAAAAAATTATGAAATCATTTTTGATTGATATACTGGGGTAAATATTAAAAATTGAATGGCAGGGAGTAACAACTAGTGGACATGTATCTACTTAAACTGAAAACTGTTAAGCAGCAACAAATCAAATTGATGGCCTGGAAAACAAGTTCAGATTAAGAAATGCCAGGTTGATTTTTAAGAGTTTCTGGATGTATAGAGATAAGAGAGAAATATATATAGCAGGAAAAGTTTGCCTACCCCTGCTCTACAATGTCTAGTTGTGCATAGCTTTAGTATATCTAATAAAACACTCCAGTGTACTTGTGGAATTGCTCTCTTTTAAAAAAAATTAAGTGTTTTCTTGATAAACTAAACTTTTCAGTATACAGCTTATCACTAAGCAATGTACCTGGATTTTTGTGTTGGTATTTAATCACTTAGAATAGGGGTAGGCAACCTTCTCTAGCTGCAGGCCGGAATGACCCAACCTGAGTCAGAGGCAGGTAGGTACGCACTAGGAACCCGTTGTTGCTGGTGCCTGCCCCCGTGGCCGCATGGGAGACCAAGAACCCCTGCTGCTGAACACCAAAGCACCCCTGCTGCTGAATATTGCTGAAGCCTCACATCCGCAGGCCAGATCCAATGGACCTGAAGGCCAAATCTGGCCTATGGGTTGTGGGTTGCCAACCCCTACTTAGAACAACGGTACACTAGCATCAACGTTTTGACTTAGACCTACAATAGGGATTAAGGCCATGGACTCGCATGAGTGCCTACTCAACCTTCTTCTTTAAAAGCTGTCAGTACTGCTTGTAGGCAGGGATGTGGAATGTACAACATGCTAGTTTGCATGCCAAAACCCAGAGCGCTAGTCCATCCGATTTTTAATTTAGAGTAGGATGAATAGTTAAAATTTGGGAACTAACTGGAAATGATACTAAGTAACTTTCCTTGTATTTTGCATACCAGAGTTTTTCAAGGCTGCTGTTACATTTAGCTACTCTGTCTTCCAAATGATCTTCAGACTTGAAATATCTGGGCTGGCTGCTCCAGTCTTTCACAAAGGCTGAAAATGTTTAAAAACAATTTGAAGTGTGTGGTAGTACAGTGAATGTCCTTCCATACATAGATTTCTCTTTCTCAGCTCGTGTGTCTTGATATAATTTGCATGGGGCAGAAGTGGGCAAATCTATGAATCTCCTCCCACAAACTGCATGCACTATTTTATAAATCAAGACTACTATATTCAATCAGCAAAGTACTTTTAATTGGAAGACAATTGGAAGTTCAGCTGGATGGCTTGACCACCAACCTAAAAAATTAGAGAATGCTAGTTATTCTTACCTTGCTCACATAGGCAGTCATTGACGTACCTCAACTAATCTCAGCAGTTGCTATTGAATGACACAGAACAGTCCTCCGAATCCACCCCGCCCCCTTCTGAGCTAAGCATGCTGTGTCAAGAGCCCTGCCAGCATGGAGAGTGGAAGACTGGTAATCAAAGCCAGTTCTCTCTCCATGTGATACAAACAGAACTGCTTGACCAATGGGCAAGCCCATTCAATGACGCTTTAACTGAGAGATTCGTATTTAACTATCTCCTGTCTTAGGAAGGATGCATTTATTACGTATATATATTATAACAGTACTTTGAGAGATGTTTTCCTCCCTTTCCTCCTCTACAACCAGTATAAAAGTTCAGCAAAGTACAAAATCATCTGTCAAAAGGATGCCAAGATTTGGAATTAAATAAATAAAGTGCTGCAAAGGGTTTGTTTTTTTCTCACTTTCTTTTTTTTCCCCCCACATTCAAACACAACACCTTAATTCACAGCATCTTTTAAGCAGCTTCATACCCCAATACTGTGATCCCTATTACAGTTTAAACATATAGCAGTTATATCCAGACACTTGCACTAGAACATTTTAAAGAAGGTCTACAGTTGCCATGCTTATCATTTTTAAGCAGGGCCTGGGAAATCTGAATGACTGTAGCAGATACTTTTTGTGGCTAGGTTAACATTTTGCCATACTACTACATCCTCAAAACCATGTGAACTACTTTATGGTATTAAGACATCCAGTGTTACAAATGGTTTCTTGTGGGGAAAAAACCCTCCTCTTGACAGCATTGGTGGTAACAACTATAGCATGAGGTAATAAGGATAGCTGGACAGTGCAGCATTCCCTTGTTGCCATGCCAAGGGGATGCCATGCCATCATTTAGACTTAACAGCCCTCAGTCGTGGTCAAAAGTTAGGTTAATAGCAAAACTGTCATGTGACCAAGTAGCTTAGCATGTATGCCCTAGCGAAAATCCCTGAGACCTAGGTTTCTAAGTCATGTGTACTCAGAAGTATTTTACCAAAGCAGTCAGTCTGAATGAAGACAACATTAGCCTCAGTTTGTCATTATGTGAAAAGGGGAGAGAAATGTGAGCACCCATAGTCACTAGGCACTGAACTGAAACCACAAATTCATTTTACACAGGCCACATTTGACCCAAAAGTACTGGTAATTTACTTTTGGTCACTATCAACCTATATGCTGCGTACAAAACATGGAAGCAAAAATGAATGTTTCTGTATCCCATTACCAGTATGTCTTCCTTGACTACCTTTTCGTACCTTCCTTTTCCATACCTCATATATTCTGATTCATGCAGGAGTTAAATGTACAGTACACCTGAGGTAACAGACCAAAATGATTATTCAACAGGTGTTATAAAATACCAACAGTAAGCCAGATGGAGTGCACATACCTTTGAAAAATAAAAACAGGGGTTGAACATTAGTCATTATATAATCTTTAACAAAAGCTTTCCTTTTAGGCATGTGAATGTATTGCAGTCGTCTTTTATTTTAAAAATGGGCTCAAATCTCTGCTAGTGGCAGCAGACCAAAATTCCACTAATGTCAATGAAAGTGGTGCCTAGTTACAGCAAAGAATTTGGTCTTTATTCTTCTCATGCTTAATATTGGTGAAAATGGTAAGTGTTTCCTTAAAAACACCTGTCCTTGAAAAATATGTTCACCCCTCCTCCCCTAGAGCCACTGTGGTAATAAGACTGGTTACCATGAAGGTGGCTTTCATGTAACCTAGGACTCAGTGAGCTGCAGCCTTTCATCAGAAAATCTGGTTGTCAGAGGCTTATAAATAGGAGGGACGAGTGCATTAGAATGTTAACCACCAACAACTTTTGTTCATGCTATAATGGTAAATAAAAGTGGCTTTGACTTGTCAAAGATGGTTACATTTTTAAAACTGGGATTTGCTCTAAAGCTACCTTTGCCTTCCATGTCTATTTTTCATACCTCTTATATTCTGATTCATGTAGGAGTTAAGTGTACGGGTTTCTTCGTGAAAATTCGTAAAATTCGTCATCAAGCCACGACCTCCAAAACTGACCACGCCCTTCATCTCACAGCAAAGCTCATGAGGACAAGTCCTAACACACCGGATGAATCAAATGCAGCAGCTCTGAAATTTCTGACTTGGTAGCTAATCATATAACCATTGCATCATCTACTATATTGTCAAAATACTATGCTGTACTAAGCAGTGTTATTTAAAACCCTTCTGGAGACTGTTGGCCAAATGTATAGCCATCTTGGCAAGCAGAGAAGGTAGCAAGCAAGAGGCTAAAGGAAGGCTAATATTCAGCTCCTACGAAACCCTGCTGTATGTGCAGCTTTCATGCAGTTTTTGGTCAATTCTTTCCAGTCTCCTAGAACAAAATATAGCATCATTTGAACTGAACAGCTCCTCTACTGGACTGATCTTTCCAGTTTTATAGATGCAGGGAAGGGTGGTGGTGGTGAGGGGAGGAGGGGGTGGGGGGAATCTCACTGACATGACGGACAGGAAAACACCCAGTGCTCTCTATCCAAAATATACCTTATCATTTCATTAACATGCTACTTTGAGATCCTGATGTAGCCAGAAAGCCACTGGTAGCTGACAACAACAAGAAGGATAAGCCACAAACATGGAGGATGGGAGGTGAAAAGGTTAACATGTACAAAATAATCAGTAAGGGGGCAAACCAGGACAATCAACTTCCTGAAAATGCTTTTTTCTATTCCTTACAGCATTTCAGGGAAGTGGCAACCTTCATGACACAAAAATCACCGTTTCATTGTCAGTGCTGCCTTGTCACACTGAGTTAACCCCAACAGCCCCCCACTGTAAGGAGAGACCACAGCTAACCTGTATGCACTCTGTAATGGGCTTTAAGATGGGAGGATTTTCCATAGACTTTGCCACATCCACTGTAGGGACATTTGTGTCTTTTTTCAGTGGCTAGTTTCCCCTTTGCAGGCACTCCACTGTGGAGGAGAGAGGTGGCCACGCTGCCAGACTCCTGTCTTTCCACTGGGCTGTGGGAAGGGCTCGACCCAGATTCAGTGGTCACGTCGCTGTCTGATCCCACATCCTCATCTGGACTTTCTACACTGTCACTGCAGACGGAAGGGGTTGGGAGGGGTCTGTATTTGTTCAGGTCCAACAAGCTTTTAGCAATCGTGACCAAGGTACAATAATCCTTCCAGGCATCTCTGGGGTCATTCAGTTCCTTGGTCACTTCTTCGTTAGGCATTTTCAGCAGCTCTGCATCCTGAGGCTCATGCTCCTGCCCCGCAGAGCGGTTGGAAATGGAAACCAGGCACTGGGCAGCCACAAAGTCCATGTAGGCAACTGCGGACATGGTGTAGACAAGGAAACACCCAAGAGGAGAAGCAGAATCCGGGCAGGCAAACTTCTCTGTCCTTCCCCCTATGGGTTTTTTTTTTTTCTTTTTCCTTTTCTGAAATCAGCAGACTGCTGCCTTGGGGCTGCAGAGGCAGGAGCCGGGGGGTGGGGGAGGATCCGAGCAGGGAGCCGACCTCAGCCACGGAGCTTTATGTAACAATCCATGACTTCCACAGGCAGCCTCCACAACGTAGTACTACACTGGGGGCCCCCCCTCTCTGCCGGGGATCCCCAGAAACTCCAGCTTGCACTTCAGCCCTGGTAACAGGCACAGCGAAGGGTTATCGGCAGGCTCTCTCGGCAGGAGCGGCGGTCTCCAGTCATCCGTTTGCAATTCTCACAACCAGAGCGCCCCGAAGGTGCCGTGGCTCCCCCCGCCCCCCCGGCAGTCACCCGCGGCGCGGCGCGGCGCGGCGGGAGGCTCCCGGCACTGTCACCCGCGGCGCCGGCGGATCAGACAAAGCTCCGGGGCGCGGAGACAGTTTTCCCCACTCGTGCCCGCTGCCGGGTGCGCTCCCCTCGCCCGCCGCTGCTCACTGCTCCGGCATCCTCTTGCTCAGCAGCAATTTCGCAGAAGCCCATCACGTAAGGTTGCAACCCCCCCACCCCCACCCCCAAATTGGTCAGCGGGGAGGGTGATTCAACTCTGTTTACCTTCTCCCCCTTCCAGTCAGAAGAGGCTTTTTTTTTTTTTTTTTTTGCATGAGAGGTGTGTCTAGAAACCAGGAGCCCGGCCAATCCTCATGTTCCCTCCCAGCGCCTCGTGCTACTCCGGGATCCTCGGGGCTGCGAGTTAAAAGGGCGATGCGAGAGGCAGGAGGGAGAGGGGGGAAGCAGGAGCAGCGCGCAGAGCAAGCGCCAGGAGGACTGACAGGCTCCGGAGTGGCCTGGCTTGGGCCAAGCCTTGCCCCGCGCTGGTGCTCCCAGGGTGGGGGGCATCCCCACGCCCGAGGCTTGGTGGCAGGCCTCCCCGCTCGGCAGGCGCCCGAGTTGAGTTTCCAGCAGAGAGCTGGTTAATTGCCTAGCTGGAAGCCCTACAGTCCCAGCAACCAGCCAGCCAATGGAAAGTAAGTTGGCTGATGTCACTAAGATCAGTTTAGCCAATCCGAAAGAAATTCCAAACAGGGCTCAACACTTGTAAACCTAGAGAGAGATGGAGAGAGCGGCAGAGGAGCGTGCTTTCTGTTTCCTCGAGATGTTCAGCTGCACTCTCCGGCCCCGGAGGTTTGGAAGACCCAGCCAGAGTGGCTGGGGTGATCTAGCTGGGCACGGTCCTGCTTTGAGCAGGGGGTTGCACTAGATCAGTGTTTCCCAAACCGTGGGATGCGTCCCACTGGTGGGTCGCAAAGGTTGTGTATGTGGGACTTAAAATTTTCCATTAATGATTAATATAATATTAATGTGCGTGTAAGTGTAAAGATATGCTTCTTGGGAAAAGTGGGGTTTTGTTTTTACCGTGATGGGACCGGGGTTTTTTGACAAACTGGTTGGTGCAAAAGGTTGAGAACCGCCGCACTGACTAGATGACCTCCTGAGATCCCTTCCAACCCTTATTTTCTATGACTATGCAGGCATAAAGGGTCTTTCTTTCATATGGCTCTAGGAGCAAGAGCTATCGTCGTTAATTCCACATTCCCCAACCAGACCAATGCCCTATTGGAAAGCAAGTGTAACTCCAGGATGCTGCCCTCAAACTTGTATCTGAGGCAGGATGTTTATTAGGTGCTCCAGGGTTTGGTCAGGGCTTCCACAGTCTCAGCCAGGTGAGGTTTTTAGGTGCCACTTGTACATCAGGTGGCCACACCGGCCGTGTCCAGTGTGTGTCCTACTAAGGGTTGTCCACATGCTCCAATGAAAGACTGAAACCCAGTTGTTGCATTGTTGGCTCAGAAACAAGGTGTTTATTTGGGAACGTGTTATCTGCCCAAGATTTCCTCCAAGATTGTTCAGTGTTGGGGTATAGGAGGTGCTCAGTCCATGTCCAAAAAGGTTTTTGTGAAATCATGTGACAGGTTGGGGGATCTGGAAGATCTCTGTGGATGGGAAGGGCTGGATTACTATAGAGGGTGGGGGACACTGAGATGAAAGGAGCTACATCCCCAGTTCATTTAGACATCTATAAAATGCTAGGCAACTGCCTGTCGTGAGTGATGGATTTAAAATAAGGAGTGTTCACATGGCTGCCCCCCCCACAACCCCTTCAGAGGCAGCCATGTAAGCACTCCCTGCGCTGCCACCGCCTCCTCCTCCAGCCACAGGTGGGAGCGTTCCCTTTCCCCGTCTACCTCCACCTCCACTGAGCAGCGGGACTTCCCTCCTTTGCCCCGCTGCCAGCTGTTGGGTGGGTGCCCGTCTCCACCCCCTGCCCACCTCTGCCTCCTCCCCTCCTGGGCCCATGCAGCCAATCGCCGCCTGCCCTCTTGGCGGTGTATGCACAGTTGACCAAAAGCATTACAGGCAGACAGACAAAGTCCTTTATTATGTTAGAATGCTGCCTGGAGGGACTTGTTTTCCTTGGTGCTGTTTTTAATTAACCTAAGCCTGCTGGATTTGGTAATAAAGTTAAAAATCATCCATGGCCTGCAAAGACTATCATCATCATCACCACTTTATTTCACAACCTGCTAGAGTCGGCTCCAGGACTGTAGGGTCTGCAAGAGAAATGATGTGAGCTCTGCCCTAAAGAACTTACAAACCAAATGTTGAAATGCCTTAGGGAGCAGGACAAGTTATCGTGATGGGACCTGGAGGAAGGACAAGAGGAAGTTCAATATAGTTACACAGTTACTCAACAAAGGCAGAAACACAGCATGACAGCATGGAGGAAAACTCGTCTTATTTCTGATAGACTTAGTGATAGGCAGGTTTCAGCAATAGCTCTTTAAACTTTTCTAGAACATGGATACATGCTCACCCTTATGAATGTGAATAGTAGTGCTTTTGGTAAAGTTGCCTCAGTGTTCATAGTATCATGCAAACTTCCTTAGGCTTGTAGCATACAACAAGTAGGGAGACAAAGTGATCTGTTTATATCAAGCACCTAGGATGTTTATAAGGGTGGCCATTTTAATTGTGCTTTTATGAGTAAATGGTTGTGTACATATATTTATCTGTGGATCTTGAAAGAAAAAACTGTCCCATCTGTTTAAAAGTCGTACAGAGTACATGCTGTAGTTTAAATTTTTGCCCCAGGCCTAATACCTAAGCTTAATAAAACATAAATCTACATCTTATATCTGTTTTTTTTTAACAGCTTCTAATTACCTTTAAAACTTAAAGCATATTTAATTAAGGTGAATAAGTGGAATGTACCACATGTAAACAAATGGGTTTAACCTTCTCCCTAAAAAGAAACCACATGTCTAGATTAATGCAAAGTTACCTGACAAGCTGCTGTTGTACATATTTTGTACGTATTTACTGTCATACTTTTGATTCTGGTTTAGCCACATCTTACCCCATGGTATCTCACTGATTCCTCTAAACTATTTGCTTTATCTTGAAAATCAGCTATACTGAGCTCTTGAACAGTGTGTAGGCAGGATCAGAAGAACATTTCTGAATGCATCTCCTACAACAGTTTGATTTAAACTCATATCCCATTCTGCTGTATAAGGAGTTTACAGCTATAATGGTGAGTTTAGGCCCACAGCCTGTTGTGGAGATCCTGGCCTGTTCAGGTTTGTGGAAGACAGTCCTAACGTGGTATTCCTTTTGGGTGGAATTTATAAGCAATATGATGTGTGTGTTTTAACAGATAAAGTGTCACCCAACTGAAATGCAATCAAGTAACCACTGCCTGACATTGAGAACCTACCCAATTATTGCCTGATTTCTACCTATCCATTTCTCCATCTTCGCTTTTATTTTACTTATCACAGTGCTTGGGTGTTTTCATGGCATCTGAGCATGTTGTGAAAGAATGGATGGCCAAACAAATCAATGTCCGGCCATTGGCACAACATAAGAGTTTTCAAGAACAAAGATGGCATAGAATTGCTGTTGGTTTTCTTCATGGTACTTGGTTCTGTGCAATTTGCTCCAGCTTTATTATCTGCTTTTGCTATTATTATTCATGATATGATTTTAATAAATGCAATGTGCTTAGTGTTAAAAGTTAACTAAACTGACTTTGAACTCTGGGAGTTCAAAGAGAAAGTGATTTCCGTAAGAAGTACTCTGCCCCTATCTCAAATCTTCATTTGTAGTATGTTAGCTTGTATATTCTTAAATATCAGGAAAAAAATAGGAAGAATGTCTTTGAATTTACCAACCTAAAAATTTATAAAGCCCCTTCTGAGTGTCTTCAAAATCTATGCCTGTGAAGTAGGTTTCTTCTCCTGCCACCTTCTATTTTATATCAACAGGAAACTGATGCACAGAGGGCACGTCTACATATGCACAATTACCGTGCAGTAGTAACATTACTAAAAATGACTGTGCAGTATGAGCATGTGTCTATACATGCACACCTGTACTGTGCAGTAACTATGACGACTTATGCTGACTTGGGCATAAATTTGCTACCTGCATGATGTAGGTAGCAAATTTACTCTCAGGTAGTTACTGCGCAGTAAGGCACATGTCCAGTAACCCTGTGTGTGTGGAATGACTCAAGACTAACTTATTAACTTCACTGTAACGCCTGCACATGTAGATGCTGGCATAAAAAACACTTACTGCACAGTAACTCACTGGACAGTAAATGCACATGTAGACATGCCCAGAAGGACTGAGTTTCTTGCTGCCTAGTACCAAATGGGAAGCCTGTGACATGCCAAGAATTAATCAATTCTTAAGTCCTTGTCTAGTGCCTTAACTAAAGACACTCCCTAAAACAAACAGGGCCAAAACCATGAAGTGTTTTATAGAGTAAAAACTTTCCCTTTAATTGAACTTGGCATGAATGACTGGTGCCTCCCAAGACTGGGGGGGCACAATTTGTGGGCAGCAGTGTTGGTGGCATTCGGGTGGCAAGCAGCGACCACCCGCAGAAGGTGGCGGGGGGGCACAGGGGTTGTGAGCAGCAACTGCCTGCAGAAGCTGGCAGTGGTAAGCAGTGACCGCCTGCAGAGGCCAGCGTCGGCAGTGGAGGGGGAGGGTGGCAAGCAGTGACCACTGGTGGTGGTGATGGTGGCAGTGGCCAATTTCAGGGCCTCCCTGGTGTCTCCTGTACAAGTCCCCTATGGAACCTGGTAATAATTAATGAACATGTGTGATTGTCTTAGCTCCTGGGATACAAGCTAAATCTTCAGAACCTTTATTAGTAAATAGCATTTGCCTGTCAACAATCATAGTTAAAATCCAAATGTATAATTATAACTTCAGTATCAAATGGACAGGTGTTCACATTGTAAACCAACCACACATACGGTAATTTAACACAACTGGCAGCCTTTGGCCATGACAAACTACTCCATTCATGTCAGGGTCGAGGTCATTAGCAGTGCAATGTCTGAGGAGGCTGCTTGTCCATCTGACCAAGAGGAATAACATAGTTAATAGCAATTGTTTGTTATGCAGGGGTGTAAAAGAGAAAAATGATGACCTCAGGATGAATAAATGAAGAATGGATCAGGACTCAGGTCAGGGCAAGTGCCTGGCAGGCAGACCATTATGGGGCTGAGGCAGAGTGGAGGCAGCAAACAGGACAGCAAAAATGTAAATCAGGGGATAGTGAGCAATTTTCTTCATGGCCTCTGAGCAT